AGTATGTCCAGGATTTCGTCTGCAACATTCATACACAGAGCAAGAAGTTAAAAACCCAGTCTGGTGACAATTCACAACAGTGTGCAAATAAATATAATTTTAAGAAAATAAAGAATATAATTCTTCCCTACTAAATCATGCTAAGGTTATCTATTGATCTCAGTTTGAGACAGAGTTTTTTTATGATGGATTATGTGACTATCCAGTCTCTCTCTTCTGCTGTCATCCAAACCAAAGTATCTGCAGTCACATCACTGATGCACTTGGGCTGTGGCAAGAGTATGTCCTGCACATAGAAGAACAAGCTCTATATAAAGTTGCAAAGTATTTTGCTGATAAAGTTCTAGTGTATGATACTTCACTGTTGATTATAGACTTTACACAAATGTTTCTGCTTTCCCAATTGTTTGGATATTTGAATAATATTAATGGAAAAAAAAGTGATGACATACTCTTACTTAATTTGAAGTGAGGGTCACGTAGCACATATAAACCTTCCTGTCAGTTATGCATTTGCAAAGTTACAGATTGATTGTTCGTCAAGACCATTCAACAGCAAAGCAACTCATCACAAGGAATGACTAAGCCAGGATATGTCTGGAGTAGAGGACATGGTACTTCAAATTTCCAAGCAATTCTCTGCAGTAGCAGCATTTCTGTCAATAAGTTCCCCCAAAGCCCACTGCCCTCTTTACTTCATTTTCTAGATGAAGAACATACTTAAGCCATTGAGAATATGTGGCTCTCCTGTTGAACACTCGCTGCCAGATGTATATCTAATTTTTTTCTAAGTGCAACCTTAAAAGACTATATCTGTGAGACATTAGCACCTACAGTAACACCTAATTCAGACCAAATGAGCACATGATGAATGATGCTAGTTAGGACAGACTCAAGGATGAACTAGACTGCAGATCTCTTCCAACATAAAAGCTGCCTGTCCCATCCAGAGCACCAGGGAACCTGCAGGCTCTGTTACAAGGTATTGCTTTGTTGCCTCCAAGTAACAAATGGGGGAGTATGTACCTCCTTCTCTGCATAAGGACGTGCATACAGTAGCTCACACACTCATGGCCTGATATCCTTTGAAGCAACTTTTTGTGTGTGTGTATGTGTGCTATTTTAACAGACAGATAACAAGTATATTAGCAGAATGGCTTAAATTCTTGCAAATTTAGCTTGTACACACTCTTTTGCTTGTTCTACACAGCCTCATGAAGACCAGAAGAGAGTCACTGTGAGTTCCACCCTCAGCCTCAGCTCTTCAACTGACAGTTCTTCAGAGTTCCCACATACACTGCAACCCGTAGATCTGACTCATTAGTCCCACATGCACACCTAACAACATCCTAGTATTTGCAGGATTGAAATTATATAGGATTATGATTTTGAAAACTGGGCATGTATAGATGCACTAAGAACTAAGCATCAAAACATTTTGACATTTTTTCTCAAGACTCCCTACTCAGAAGAGAATCCAAGACTGGTGATCTGAGCTTCCTTTTATAGAGCATTTCACCCAGATTCCAGTCTTTTTCCCCTTTCACACTCATTCACCTTGACTAAGTATTACCTAATCAAAGCAACAAGACAGATAGTCCCTTCTTCCCTAAAACACTGGTCATGGCTTCTTGCTTAGGAGCTGCCTGCAGCCCTTGAGCCAGCTGAAGAGTTCTGTGTATCCAGACAGAAGTGGATGCTACTCCCATGTTTGCCTTTCTCTTTAATGAGGTGTTCACTGAGTAAGAGGTACAAAGCCCTTTCCTACTGGCCTGGAAAATGCTCAGCCTTAAAATGAAACCTCTTATAAGTGATCCTTATTTCTATCTAAACATTAAAAAAAAAAGGGCCAAAGGATGCTGCCATGCCATCAGACCCCTGTCAGCCCTGCCAGCTCTGTCTCTGAAGGATTTTGTGATATGGTAGCAAGCCATAGCATACCTTACAATTTTCCTTACTGGTTATTCCTATCCATGCACCACAGCTTTTAAATTACAAAGAAAACAGTCACTATGACAACTACATTTACTCTTTCACTAGATAATGACAATTCATCCAAATGTGTTTAGAAGTCACTGCAATCTGCTTAATTAGACAGGAAATTTAAAAACTGAAACTACCATATAAGGAAATTTCCAAACAATGCTTTATGTGGGAGTGGTCTCATCAGCAGTGCACATGGACAGAAGAAGACACACAAAGCAGAATAGTTTCTCTGTACATAACACATATACCTGACTATTGAGCAATTTATTGTTTAAAAGTAGCTGTAACTTTATACAAGCCTCAGATTGCAGAAAGAACAGAGCTGAGAAGTGTAATTTTTTAAATGAATCAGGCTAGATGAGAAAAATGTTCAAATTTACTCTAGGTGTGTCTAGACAGAGATCTATTTATTTATTTTTTGTGTCTAAGTCCTTTATAAGCTTCTGTGTATTTCGGATCTACTTCTTAAACAAATATTTTGTTTGCATTTGTCTTAAACTGTTTTGGATTAAGAGTGATTTAAATTAAATGAGCTGTCTTCCACTCAAGAGACATAGCAATCTATAATATAGGGACTGGACCATTCAAACAGAGCTCACTTTTCTCCTACACTTGTCTAAACCTACAGCACCCTCACGGTGTTTGTAAAGCCTACAAAACTATATTCAAACAAACTCAAACTGTCAACTGCCTCCTTGACATAAACAGGATTTAGATGTGTTTTGTGATGTTGTGTAGTGTTTCATTTTGAAGCCCATTCCAGTGAAGTCTCTGGGATATAAAAAAGCCCATTTTCTTAAAAATGTAGTGAAGAGCTTAAAGTTTTTTCAGAGAGAAAGCAAAAGAGAGTAGGGAAGGAAGGTGACAAGTACCCAGTAAGACAGAAAAAAGAAAAGGCTGTCTTAATATCAAACCCATGTCCACCAAGCAAGCATTCTCATACTCTTATCCTACCAATACTAGTGGAAATACAGACTGGTGATTACCCAAGGGCACTACCATTTCCCAGCAAAATCGCTATTGCATTTATTCAATGTTTTGGAGTTTGCTAAATGTTAGCTTATTGCTACCAAGGTCACAGGAACATAGGTTTTCTTTTGCAATCCATCAGAAGAATCAGAAAGACAACATATATCATGCAGACAGTATTGCAACATTAACCCATCACAACAGTCCATGGAGATACCATTCAGTGCTGTTTGCTGTAGCTTTATGGCAAAGAGCCTTGAGAATAGTCTTCCAAATCATGCTTGTACACTTAAGTATGTGAAAGTCATATTGTTTGCAATGAAAGAACATAGTACATACAGACTTGACAGATTCCTGATGTCTACAGTTTTTGACAGTCACCCAAATTTAAGACTGAGAATGTCAGACTGACCCTACATTTGGTGAGAAAAACAGAAGTCCTGGTTTTATCAAACTGTGGTTCATATCAGATCTCATTTCCATTAAAAAAAAAGCTCTGATTCTGTAATATTAATGCAGTATTTACATTTGTATACAAGTAGAAAAATTAACTGCCTCTATTTTAATTTACTCTTTTGGATTTAGAGGCAGTAAGGCTCATGCATCCTTAAAGAGGAAAAATGAAATTAAACTGGTGGTGCTTGTATATGGCAATATTTCTTATCTGTCAGAATACTTCAAATTAAATGAGTTTTGAGCATGTAATAAAGTTCTGTATTCTTTTGTCCTGTATCACTCTTACTGCAAACACTAAAATGAAGCTGTTGATTCTGCTATTTGAATCAGAAAAACTATCAGCAGCTTAACACTACTGTGAATCTGTCAGTATACGGGCTAAGAGTGAATCTTTAAAACTTTGCAGTGGGGGGTTTAACTGGTATTCCTAAAAGCCACATTCTTTTTTTATCTCATTTTCTGACCTCATTTCTAAGTCGGAGACAGAGAGGCTGGAGTATAATAACTCTACTCAGGCCATCTGACCAGGCAAGAAGCCCAAGAAAAATGAGTTGTCCATATAATATTAATAAGTAGTGAAATCCCAAAGTTATTTTGCAAGACCTCAATTATTCAACTATTTTGAACTTCACACTGTATAAATTAAACAGTTGTTTCTCAAGGCCCTTGCAGTATTGCTTCTCCCTGTAAACTTTACTGATTCTGGGTTTTAGGCCACATAGTGTATATTTTTCTTTCACATTTTCTTTCTGTACATTCTTTGACTTCGCAGTGGGTGTTACAAAAGGCTATTCAGTTTCTACATGGAGATCACCCAGGAGATGACAACATGCACTTTTTGCCATAAACTCAATCCAAATGCACGTAATTGGGTTAACAGCAAGACAGGTTTACCTTGTTAAAATTCTTACAGGTTTGTTCCTCTCCACACCCTACATGGTACAACCTTCATACTAGCATCCTTCGATGGGGAAAGACCAGTACACAAGAGTTCGTCTTGCATTCACAGCTCATCTGCATCCAGCTGTAATATTTTGCATCAAGATGTGGGGGCGTGTTTGACCGCATTTAACATCTCTGTTACCCTACCCTCAGGCTACATAACTTGCTCTTAAAAAACCTCTGTTCCCCACCTCCAGAAAAACTTTCAAGTGATTTCTTAGATCTCAAATACGGCAAGAGGGGACTACAAGCCAACACCTGATGCTCCAATGCATGAACTACAGAGGAAGAAGCCTATGCCAACCACAGTATCCCATTTTCCTCAGGGTAAATCCTTCCCACAATACAGCTTTACTCAAATTGGTAACAGCCTCTCTTCCCCACTTTTGTCTGCATTTGGATTCAGGTGCAACAGGAATACAACAATGTTCATAGAGGCTTTACCAAGAGCTGAGGCAGACTCCCATCAAAAGAGACCCCAAGATGGCAACAAGTATGAATTTGCAGTGGGTATTTATATTTTGCACTATAAATAAAACATCCTATCAGACCTTTCCAATATAAATGTGATTGAGTGTACTGCAACAGGCATTACTACACATTTTTTCAAATGAAAAGCACGAAGAAAATAAAACTGTGTTTCTTACTTTCGACGGAACATTTCTGCAAATATGCAGCCAACACTCCAAAGATCAACTGCCGTTGCATAACTGGACTGAAGCAAGACTTCAGGAGCTCTATACCACAAAGTAACAACCTGTAAAACAAAAAAAAACAGAAGAGAGATCACGCTTAGCTGTAGAATTACAACCTCATGAGTGTTGTATGCACAACTTCCAGTTAGTTTAATCCATGTTGTAAAAACTCACATATTAGGGCAAATGGGTTTGGCCATCACATAGAAAAGGGTCCTGTATGGAAAATCTCAGTAAGGATAGCTGCAGTGATGATGATTCAGGAAGTGAGACCACTTCTTGTCCAGAACAGTGTGGTTCAGGGTACAAGAAAACCACAATATCAGCGTACAGCACTGGTATGACATCTCAATACCACAGCACACTACCAGAAACTCTTTGAAACTTTTGCAGCTTACAGACCCCAAACACTTTCCAGTAGAGACTTCGACTCTCCATAGAGCAAATGTTACTCTATTGAACAAGGCCTTGTTTTGCTAAAACAACTTTTGTGGACCCTCTATATGTAGTCACCAGAGCCAAAGTGTAAAAAAACCAAGCTACTGTGGGTTTACCCATAGAACAAATCAGAACCTGTAGCACATTATCTGTTCTCAGCCCTTTATTATGTACTATTTTCTGTAAAAGATACGAGATCAACTCAAGTGCATGGACCAATCAGGATAAACACGTTTGACCTGTCTCAAAAGTTCTCTCTGAAGAAACTGAAGAAATGATAACTTATTTTTTTACCAGCTGGATACAGATTAAGTCAAACCCTTCCCAAAGCTGTCCCTTACCAAAGGCGTAAGTGCTGTCTACTGTGGTTTCCTTGCATACAGAGGAACCCTAAACTCTCAACAGCAGCAATGCAGCACAGGAATTCCTGGCAGATTCCTGACCTTTACAGTTGTACCCACGTGTTGTCGGTTAGACCAGCACTAACTTCTCTCACAATATATTTTCAAATGATACGCTCTTTCCCACGGACATATGCTATGTAAAGCGCCTGCTTTTAGGCTGTTCTTGTCTCGGTGGTTATGTCACAACATGTTGCAGAAATCAAGTGGGAATTTTATAAGCACTGCTCTATTGATGTACTTTGATGAGTCCTGCTGGACCCACAACAGAGATAGGACAGTTTATATTTATCCTTTTGTTTCCCACAAGTAGACCAAATACAAATGAGGGTGACTGTTCTTCAGTATATTTGCAGAAGAACACAAGGAGCTTCTGCAGAGTCCAACGTAAGCTATTATCTTGCTAGAATATAATCTCAGAGCCACAGGAGCATTCTGCTCCTGAATACAGTTATAATCCAGCCATAACAACACATGACCGTCAGTTAAGTATCAATATTTTCTCAGTGTGTGCTATAATGTAAACCTTTGACTATTAATCTGGGGCTGGGCAGGTCTCAACAATTATTGAGTTGTTTCTCCAACAAACACAAAGGTGGGAAAAGCAGTATTCAGGAAAAGCACGAAAAAAAAGCAAAAACACTGAAAAGAAACAAGGACAGAAACAAAGAAAAATATAAGAATGAATATAACTTTTAAAATTACGTTAACTAGGTAAATGAGTTCTGAATTTCAAGACCAACAGAAAGAAATGTGTACGAATAGTGGGCTTTTTATGATAACAATATAATTGTCTTCTAAGGAAAAATAACAATGGAAGTAATCAGCCGAATTTGCTGGTCAAAGCCAGCTGAAACAAAAGCAAATACAACATTTATTATAATCATTACATGCCCTGACAGCCTTTGGAACCACTGAATGGCTATTGAAGGGAGGTTCACGGATATTTGCACAAGTGGTCATATTTGCTAACGGTTCTTTCAAACACTTTGATCTTTATTCATAAAATCTGTCTTTGAAACGGTTCAATAATACAGTGCAAAGTACTGCACTGGCAAGGTACACTTCCAGATACCTGTCCACAGAAACAGATTCTTGTGTGGAAGTTGGGCATTATTTAGCTCCATTTATCTTGTTCCTGATTTGCTACCATACCAGTGATGCTTTTCAAAAACACTTCTCTCTATAAAAAAACAGAGAAATTTCTTCAGAGATTCATCAAGGGAAAGATGACAAAGGTAAATGAAGGTCAGAGATTCTCTCTGGAGCTGCCTTATCTGTGTCAGATAGAATTCCTTCTAAACACATTATTTTTCCTAATGCAGATATACCTCTCAAGCTGAACTATACTTTTATTCCCTCAGTACATTTGTGGAAAAGCTTATTGAAGAAATGTTGCTTTGAGAAATTAGATATAACAATTTCAATCCATTACTGTTTGTTAATGGCTGGGTGTAGTGTCAGGAGGAAGAGTTGTGTGATCTTTGATCCGTGGGAATACCACCAAACCTCATGATTTCTGATTTGAGATCCACACAGCTCTTCTCACATGGAGTGTAAGGGTGATTTAATCTCCCCAATACCACAAGCCCTGCAACATTAGGGCTTTGCACTGTCACAGGCAAAGAACTGGGGGATGCGTGGTTATGAGCTGGGGGATGCGTGGTTATGAGACCGTCTGAATATTGCTGACAGTGTACACCCCAAACTGGAATCCTCTCCAGGGAAATGTGGCAGAGGACAGCTGTTCCTTTCCTGAGAGGAGCATCGCAGATCGTGCCCGGTCCCCGTGTTTGCCCAGAGGAACAGTGCTGTTCTCAGACAGCTGCAGAAGCACGTTGACTGCTTCTCCCATGTGACCCCTTACTTGCATAGTTCCTCAAGCATTTGCACCCTGCATGCATACACAGGGGACTGGAAGATTTTACTTGAGTAATTTGGAAACTTACACCTTTTAAAAAAAAGATTTCCAAAGACTTACAGTTAAACTTCAGCTAATGCCTAACTGTGTTATAGTCAGAGAGGAAGTAATCTGTGTCGAGCTGTTTTGATATACTCTGTCATTAATGCGTCATTATAGAAGTGATCAAGTAACCTTTATGGTTTGTAACATGCAAGTCTGTGTTTCAAAATGTGAACCTGAAAGGGATCAAAATGTACTAAATGTCAGTTTGCACACAAGTAATGCCACAGATGACTCCTCTTGTGGTCATGGTCTTCTCCTGAAAAGCACAGGATGATGCAGATGATGCAGTGGTTTTGACACAGTTTCACACTCTCTCTTACCATAGAAACCAAGAAAATATTTGTGGACACTCCATGAACATTTGTAGAGAAGTAGAAATGAAAATTATTCCGAACACAGGATATGGTGAGGCTGAACAACCACATCATCATTTCCTCTTTAGCACAGTTCTGAGCGAAAAATGCTTTACTTAGGTAAGCCACACCACCAGGGAGACCTGGATCTCCCTGAGTGATAGCGCACGTGACAGAGAGCTGATTGATGAAGTCCCATTTTTAGGAAGAAAAAAGCAAGCATCTGCATCACTATATCTCACTTAAATTCTGTCTCTCCTGAAAATCCGACACACATGAAATACAGCACACGGTGATTGTTCTGTAGGAAAAGGGGTTCATGCTCACATGGTGATGGAGATCCTAAATTTAGTACAAGACTCCTAAATACTTTGGAGGCTGTAGACTTTAGCGACCATGTTGCATTTTAGTCCTCTCATTTGAGAAGCTTCTCTCCTGGCTCCTCTCCCCTGCCTGCCACAAGCCAGTGGCCACCCTGACAGCATCACCAAACATGCCTAATTCCCTGTTACTCCTCTGCAAATGCCTGAGTGGACACAGCCTGCTGCCCTGCTACGTCCCACATGCTCTGCCTTCCATCACATTCCCCATCTGCTCCTTTGCACCTCCAAGCTCCCTCGAATTTAAAACCCTGTCCTCCTTTCTTCCAACTGTCTCCAAATGCCCCTGGGAAAAATAAACTCCTTTTCCCCCTTTAGCCTCTCAGCCTACTCTGCCCGTCCTGAGGATACATTTTTATTTAACAGATCAAGCTACATATGAAAAGATGGAGAATATTTCATATATGGAAGAAGTACGTACCTAAAGAGGTAACTCTGCTTCTTTTCCAGCGCACGTTTTATGTTTTCACTACCCACATAAGATGGGATGATATCAAGTAAGAACAGTAATCAGTAGCTGCAGATCACTGCTTCTAACAATTTAAATGCCAATAGATTTAGGCAGCACTTCATGATGAAAAGAAATGAAACGTGTATCTGAGAGGTGTTAAAAAGGAAAAGAAAATCTGCAAAAGTCTACTGAGGCTGTGGCTGACCCTCTAAAGAAGGAAATATGCTCGATGAGAAGCAAGGGAAGAGCTGTATTTAGAGTCAGAAGAAGAAAGAGAACTTCATTTTGAAATAAAACTTCCTGTCTTATTATACCAGACAGATATTGCTATGTGGCACCATCTAGCCCCAGGAGTTTCAATCCTGCACTTCATGGTACCTGTTTCTGATGAAATATTGAATTAGTGGTAAGTGTCTGCTCACTAGCAATGTTAACATAAGATCTAGGCATTGTGTCAGTCTCATTTAATTTCCATTTACTTTACAGAGCAGATTTTCATTTTTGGGTAACTGCTTAATTTAAATGGATCTGCACAATACACAGCCCTTTCCAAATATAGTTGCTGTCTGAATAGCATTCAGTTCAAAAAAGACAAAGACAAACAGTGGTTTAGGGATGGGGTTGAGTAACATAGACACAAAAGACTACATTTTGGTTTGCCACAGACTTTAAGTACAGACCAATGCCCAGTTGCACAGCTACAGGAACAAAGCAGGGATCAGACTGTAACACAGCAGCTATGTCTGTGCTAGGAAATTAAATGGGACAGGAAATGTTCCTTTGGCACTGAGACCAACAAGTACAGAGTGGTCTATGTCTATATTATTAAATTCTCAGCCTCCTAAAAAAGGTGACCACATGCAAACTGCTTATTGGGAATGTCTTTGGTCCATGCTTAACTGCCTGTGCCTAGGAACTGTCTGGGGAAGGGCTGGTTGGAATAACTCATGCCAGGAACCATTCTAATAATTTAACAGTATAGACAATTGAGCTCCAGTACCCACGAACATTTTCTGGCACTCTTTAATCTACTAGCCAGTGAGTCACGCTGTGGCCCCGGGTCTTCCTTTCAC